CATAAGCGACTACAGCTAAGCGCTAGGAGACGCATAGCCTCGTGTAGTACGGACCGGATAAGTCCAAGTTCAACACTCCCACTCAATCCGTACCTACGGAAGAGCGTTTAGTGTCGAAGACCAACACCTTCACAGAACTTCTTGACGATTGTCAGAGGAACGTTCTTAGTGAGAGCATCAGCGAGCATGTCAGCCGTAGCGACATAGAAGATGTCCACTTGTCCAGCTTCGTAGAATTCGCGAACAAAGTGATACCAGATCTCCACGTGCTTTGTCCGACGTTCGACTACTGGATTGACAGAGAGGAAGATCGACCCTTGATTATCTACACAGAGAGGGGTCGGCTCGCTCATGTCGTATCCGAGTTCGTCAGAGAACGTCCTCAGCCACGCCATCTGTCTGCAGGTGTCAGAGGCCGCTTTATATTCCGCCTCAGTTGAGGAGAGCGAAATGGTAGGCTGACGCTTCGATGCCCATGATATGGCACCACTGGCTAACAAGAAGATTGTGCCCGAGGTAGAGTGCCAGTCGTCTCGATCTTCAGCCCAATCAGAGTCCGAGTACGCAATCAAGCCATCATTAGAAGCGCCGTTGTAGCGAATCCTGTAGGTGCGAGTGCCTTGCAGGTAGCGTAAGATGTATTTGGCATACTTCATGTGGTCAGGCGAGGGATTGGCACTGTATCGGGAGAGACGAGTGACAGCAAAGGTGATATCTGGTCTTGTACCGAGCATTGCGTACATAAGACTGCCAATGAGGCTCTGGTAACGCGACCGTTCAGCGTCTGAGGCAAGTCCGTCGTACTTGACGAGAGCAGCGCCCGCAGGAAGAGGGGTATTGGCAGGTTTACAGTCAGCCATCTCGAAACGCTCTAAGACAGACTGGACATAGTCCTCCTGGTCAATGTCGATAATGCGCGAAGCACGATCACGACGAATGCAAAGACCAAGGAAGCGCTGTACTGCGCCTAAGTCCGTCATTTTGTATTGGCGTCCAAGTGTCCGTTTGACTTGCTTGATGTGATTCTTGTTATTGCCGAAAAGAAGTAGATCGTTGACATAAAGAACCACAATGGTGACTGAATTCCCCCCATGTCGCCGATATACGTATACGCCGGCATCGGAATACGTCCGTGTAAACTCCAGATCAAGAAGGGATTGATGGATCTTCGCATTCCATTGACGCGAAGCCTGCTTAAGACCGTAGATAGCCTTCTTGAGCAAGCAAACATGATCCTCTTTCCCCTTGACGACCCAACCTTCCGGTTGTTCCATGTAGATCTCTTCCTCCAGATCACCATTCAGGAATGCGGTTTTTACGTCCATAGACTCCATCTCCCAGTCCTCAAGCGCAGCGTGCGCAATGAGATACCGGATAGATTCGTACCGCGCAACGGGAGAGAACGTTTCGTGATAGTTCTCACCTCAAACCTGGGTGAAACCCCATGCAACCAACCGTGCCTTGAATCGACCATCGTGCTTCTCGTCGTAAACCCATCTACAAGAGACGACAGGCTTGCCTTTGGGACGAGGCACTAGAACCCAGGTTTTGTTCTCGATCAGCGAATCGTACTCAGCTTTCTCGGCAGCACGCCAGAGATCAGCCTTTGGAGAACGCATTGCTTCATGCCGATTACGAGGAATGCCTGGTTTGTACTGCACTGCATCAAGAAGCAACTCAAGTAAAGCATCTGCATCCCCGGGGTTAGGCACATCAGAGCGAGAGCCATCAGGATGAGTACGGGCGTCGACCTGGGAAGGATGATTGGAGCCCTCAGCTTCAGCATTGTCCTTTTCCCATCGAGGATTACGACCTGCACCTTGACGATTCGAACGTCGAGGAGGCGGAGCCTGAGGGTTGGCTCCCACTGGCTCATGACGATTACGAACATGTCGAGGTCGTGGTGGAGGTTGCTCTATAGGAGGTGGTTGTTGCGGTTGCGGTTGCTCTTGAGCAGGCGGTGTGGGAGGTCGTTGAGGAGGTGGCGGTTGTGCAGGCTCGAGATCGTCAAAGTCAATCTCGTTGCCATCGGGTAAAGGAATCCTAAAGCCCTCATTTGATGGAGAGCCCTCAGAATCCGAGGAAGAGTCTGAAGACGAATCATCGTCTTGGAGATCTGGGAAAAGATTATCCCCTGGGGTAACGGGGCGATTGCCGGGTTCCTTACGTGCAGGGAAGACACTCTCATCGAAGGTCACATCGCGAGACACAACGATCGAGTGCTTAGCAGGGTTCCAAAACAGATACCCCTTGGTCCCATCTGCATAACCCACAAACGTCATCTTGATTGCCTTCTTCTCGGGTTTCTGATGGTGGTCTTTCTGCACGTGAACAAAGGCTTTGCAGCCAAACACACGGAAGTAGGAGACGTCAGGGACAGTCCTGTTCCAAACCGTGATAGGAGCACGCCATTTCAGGCGGCGCATTGGTTGACGATTGTACAGATGAACGGCACAGGCGACAGCAAGTTGCCAGAAACCGTGAGATAAGCCAGCCATGTGAAGCATTGACAAGGCTTTCTCCATGATGGTACGGTTCCAACGCTCAGCACGTCCATTCTGCTGCGGCGAATCAGGTGTAGATTTCTGGTGTTCAATCCCATACTCCTTCAGAATTGATGTAAACGCTTCCGAAGTAAACTCCATTCCTCGATCCGAGCGGACAGTCTTGATCTTGTAACCAGTGCTGTTCTCAGCCCAAGCCTTGAATTCGCAAAAGGCTTGATGGGCCTGGTTCTTGTGGCGAAGATAGTATGTGCGCCCAACACTGGAATAGTCGTCGAAGAACAAGACGTAATGAAGATTGTGTCCGTTGATCGATTCAGTGCCCATAGGTCCGTCCTCATCAGTATGGATGATTTCACAAGGAGCAGTGGCACGCTTCTCAGAGGGAGGAAACGGTAGTCGATGAGACTTGCCCCACTCGCAGCCTTCACAAACAGGCGCATTAGTGGGCGGAGGATCGATATGATCAACACCTTTAGAGTTCGCAGGCAGACGCGAAATAGCTTCTTTGGAGGGATGTCCAAGTCAACGATGCCATGTCCAGTAGTCAATGACAGCCGGCTGAACAGAAGCCTTTGCGTCGCCCTTCGCAGGAATTTGGAGGAACATGTAGTAGACATTCGAGGTTTCAATGTACTTCCCCTCGAGTATCTTAGTTCCTTCAATCGTCATACCAGTTTTCGGTGCTTCAGAGAGCGACCAAAAAAAGATAGAACAGCGCTTTCCACCAGCAACAAGGGTATGGCCTTTCCGCTCAACGGCTCCACAAGAGAAGAGCCGGCACGATGCATTCGGAAGATAAACGACGTGGCTAATGGTGGTGTTGACCCAACCAGAGCCTTCGACCCATGTACGGCCACGAACAGTGCCTTCACCGGGCGCATAAAGCGGCGAACCGGCTGCAGCAGTGCTGAAGACCATTGGAGAGGCAAACTCCTCATAGGTGTCAAAGTCGTCGAAGTAAGGAGTGATGTGTTCCGAAGCACCTGAGTCCATCAGCCAAGTAGTCAACCGATAATCGTCTGAAGACGAGCCGTAGAAAGAAGCGGAGATCGATTGCGAAGCTTCAGCAGTAGTAGATACTAGTACATTGGCTGACGAAGACTCATTGATGGTAGCGTGCGTGTGATTATGCGGTGGTCCATTGTCCTTTCCCTTGCCTTTCTCGTCCTTCTTGTTCCCCCCACCCTTCGGCTTCTTCTCAGGATACTTCTTCCAACAAGAAGATTCATCGTGAGTCTTGCCGCCGCAGTGACCACAAGGGCCTTTCTTCTTGGGCTTGGTCTGAGAAACACGAGTCGCCGAAGTGCGGTTTGCCATACCCGTCTTCTGGATGTTCTCGTAGGCGAGGGTCTTCTCGCGAACCGTTTCGACCTTCAGATTCTCGAGCTTGACCGAGGTGAGAAGGCCAGAGATCAGGTTGCGATAGGACTCAGGAATCTTGGACAGAACTAGCATCGCCTGAAGGTTCTCAGGGAGCTCGAGCTTACTATCCTTGATTTCCTTGAGACGAGTGACGAGTTGGTCGAACTGGTGCTGGATGGGCTTCTGGTCGTTCATGCGGTCCGAAGCGATAAGGCTTTCAAACTTGTACCAGACAG